GACACTCAGTTGCTGTTGTTGTGCTCAAAACTACGGGAAAGTGGTCACTTCTGTAGGGATAACTGATGACATTCCACTGGAGTATAGGCACAATGGACGGAGATACTATGCTTAGGTCTATGGAGGAGTAGGTGTTATTAGCGATATTATAATAGGTTGGCCTTTTCGAGTCAGAAGACACGCGCTGGATGAGAGAAGGAACTGTTCAATCAGTCAACCTCGCGCGTCGCAACGAGAATCACCCCATAGCCCGCTATGTACATTCAATTCTCCAAGCAGAACATAACGCTCCGGAAGTTCGTCTATGAAGGACTTGAAGTCATGTTTTTGTAGGTGATAGCTCAGAGGTTCATAAAGTGTACAAATTGTGATCAGTTTATTGAAAAGCACTGCTCAAACAGCCACTGTCTGAAGAGATGATTGGAGTTGAAAGTGTGTGCATGCAATCTCTTGATTCTCTATAATGGCAACACCTCCGGATGTTGTCACGGCATCATCACGGCCCTTTCGAAAAATGGCGTATTTACGTAGAAAGTTGGTGTGCTTTAAAGCTAGGTATTTTATGTCCACACAGAACTTTTCATGAGTGCTCGTGTAATTGTTCTTGGACATAATCAAGGTTCTCGAGAAGGCCCCTGACATTCGATTGTATAATTTGAGTGTTCACGGTGAAAGTAAGGTAGTGCTGTATGTAGAAAGAGCGAGTGGCTGTTTAGGCAGGATGTTTGAATTCAAGTAAAAGGGCCGTCACCAGGCCCCATTATCTGCATTGTTTGTTTTCTTGACGTGGTTTAAGGAGCTATGTCGCTCTTTCGGCACCAAGGGTACCGACGTATTCATTGCCTCCTCGGAGGCACTGGATGCCCGCACGTGCGAGCTTGTAGTTCAAATTTCGGGCCTCGCCTAGTGAAGTGAGGCCTTCAGACCTGCAGATCTGGGGTCTCCGATCTCTGTTCGTGAGCAGGCGGAGTAGGCTGAACTACTGCCGCCTTGGGAGCAGGTGCCCCAGCCGATGTCTCGATATGCGCGGGCCGAAGGAGTGAGGAGGACTGGTGCGATGCTACCCCCTTACGCGCCGCGTCAGCGTAGGTTAGGCCGTAAAATGGCGACACTGTTATTCTTGCTTCTTAAAAGGAGATATTTACTCTCCCCTTCAATGTGAGAATCTTTTTTTTTCAAGAATAAACAGGACTGTGAGTGGGCAGCATGATTTCTGTCACAGTTCACACAATACGCTATATGTTTCCCGGTTTCCGACTTGTTGTCGTGGTCGGCACAGGTTTGCCGACCACGACAGCTTTGTGAGCCGCGGCCATATTTCTGCCATTGAAAGCAACGGCGAGGGTTTGAAAGCTTTGTGCAACCCGTTACAAGCGTGTTTGGAATAACGCTGGAGTCAAACGTAATGATGATGTGTTTAGTTGCGGTATCTTTGCCATCTCGCTCCATAATAATTCTCTTGACGTTGACTACATTCTGAACTTTCCATACCTCAAGATATTCTGCATCTGTCAAGTAAGCTTGATCGTCCTCCAATACAACTTCTCGGCTCGGACAGTGTTCATTGAACAGTGTGCCTATACAGTGATGGGGACATCCCCAAAAGTCTTTACGTTCAATAGTCTTTCATATTGTTTTTTTCACCGATTTCAATAAGGAGAGCTCCGCTAGCCATTTTCGTCGCTCTGTAACCTGTTCCAAGTGCGTTTATCACGCACCTTGAAACTAGGAACGGGGAGGGTTTTCGAGATTGGCTTTGTCAGTGTGTCACTATGAATAACATGGGAGCGTGGGAAGTTGTTCTTGTTTAGTTGAAAAGGTCGAAAGCTTGCATGAGTGCGCACCGTCTTCAAGTAGCTATCAATAGAGAGTTAAAAGTTTTTTACCATAAAATATGGATTGTGTTCGGTAGCGGTGGCAGCCACCCATCACCGAGCCCAACGAGTGGACGCTGCAAAACACAAAAAATGGATTGCATGCGTCAGCTGTACACCACCACTATAACCTCATGTGACCCATCCCAAGGTGGGGTGAACACACGAGTATAGCCCTTGCCGCCAGGAAGAATTGGACGTAAACAGAAAACAGAAGTAGACAAGACAGATAAATAGTGAGAGATAAAGACGAAGGTGTAGGGGGACAGAGATAAAAAAAGGCGATTGCCAATTTCCCCTGGGTGGGTCCGCCCAGGGGTGCCATCTATGTGAAGCCGGGCCAAAAGGATGCATTGCATCTGCCGGGGGAGCTTAAAGGTCTACTCACCCAGCGTCAGCTGTGCCCCGAAGATGCCATGACCAGAATAGCGGCTTCTCCTTTTTCCACTGGCCACAGAATACGAGGAAGAAGAACTGTGAACAGAAGATGGACGAAGAGGAGGTCAGTGTGAACCGAGGGCAGCGAGACGAGACATCGCCGGCTGAAAAAGCGACGAAAACACGAAGGACGACAAAGACTTGAATCAAGACTCGCCGCTGAAATGTGTGTTCCCTCAATTATTCAAAGAGAACAGCGAAATTATCTAAAAGAACAAAAAAAACGCCGAGGACGCAGATAACCATCATAGTGAGCGAAGCGGAAAACAAGCTTCAGGATAATTGAAACTCTACTGAGATGCCACTGCCAGCCAGTCAGATCAGAAATCTCGCCAACATAGTAAAGAAAGTTGACGAAAAGATGGAGCAGTTTATAACACGTGAAATAGCCCAATTCGAGTTAGCGAGGACAACTGATTATGAACTGTAGGTGACTATCGTTCTGCTCAACATCAATACGTACCTTCGCCAACAAGAACAGCGTGAGCCAATGAGAACCCAAGCACAGGCAAGCGCCACAAGCAAATTCAGTAAAGCTTCCATTGGTAGAAATAATGGAACGAAGAATTGAACGAAGAATTAAACAAGAATCAAACGTTCTCGTACCTTCTGCCATCACTTCTGCCATCTTTGAAGGAACTTCAACATTTAGACAACAGCTACGTGGAAACTATCGACATGTTCAAGCAGTGATACAGGAAACATGAAGCGCTTGTAGATATGCACATGAAATAGTAAACTAATTTCAATTCAGTAGCAAGCTGCAGTGACTATGAAGGCTTAAGAAGGCTGCCAGACAAGGCACAGTAGATACGATGCAAGTATACTGAATTGGAGCACTAGATGGCAGAGCAACTGCACTGTTGTGAAAACTCTAAAATAATATGGAAACGTTTGTTGGCATTTGGCAGCAGAAGTGCTCAATAAGTTAGTTTCCGGGGATACCTAATCATTATGCTCGGAAATACATTGTTAAGCTCATTCGGTCAAATATTTTTCCGTGTTTCAAAACTTCATTGTAAAGTAAGCTGGCTGCAGCACTCGAGATCCCCCCCCCCCCCCCCCAATCAGTTTCCAGTGTTTCAGTCATGACGACAGTCTTATTTCGACTTTCCGCTTTGTTCAATGAAATGCGAAATTCGTTCTGTTGTTACACGAGTGGATATAGGCAAACAGTCACTTCACAACCGTTAACAACCTCGACACAGACGTAGATGTCTCCTCTGCAGTTACTCGGAAGATCACATACCTTGAATGAACGAAGTGCTATGTACCGGAAGTACACCAGCTGGCGAGGAACCATTTTGCTATCTACCTACTCAATGTCATCATCATGAGCAAGACACAAAGGAGATAACTGCTCTATACTATTATCCAGACACACACGCAGGCACACACTTAGTTTTATTAGACACAGTCCACCTGTAAGTACGTTTCGCAGAAACCATCACGCACAGAAAACGTACTTATAGGTTGACTGTGTAAAATAAAGGTCAGTTGCAAGTCTGTGCCTGTATGCGCGTATGGTATATGAACGCATGTGAAGTGCAGCTATTCAATTTGTGGTAATATGCACCGACTCGCCTAGCAACAAGTTCTCTTGTGCAAAACGAAGAATATGCTGGTACACCATCTGTTCACGCCGCTCTTACGTACAGCCACATCTTTGCCGCATTCTTCCACGCCTCGAGAATTCCCTCTAAACACACGGAGGAGTGGTGACCGAGCAACGATGACGCATCAATATACGGATGTACTGATTTACAGCTTCGACAACTAAACGTCTATTGATTCTGTGATTGACGTATCACGGAATTTTGTGAAGAACTAATCCTTGTTTTTTTTCCTTCATTTCTTTGCTTTGTTCATAACTGGTGGGAAGGTTTTGTTACAATGTTGACAACAAATTTTTGCTCCGTGCAGAAAACGGATTTGTGCGTTCATGCGTACGCGCACACAAACACACACACACACACAAACACCCGCGCACACGCAAACTTGTCTTTGTTTTTATTTTGATATCAAAACTGCGTGCACCGCAATTTCTTCAAGATCAACTATATTTAACGCTGTCGCGTTTTAATTATTGTTGGATATATTTTCAACACACCTCACTTGTGCTTTTATTCTTTCCCTGAGACACGAACAAGAATGCCAGAAGAAGAACTTTGATTTATAGTCACTAGCTTTAAACAGCTAGTCCCCTGGCCCTTGGAGCTTCATATTTACTTTAAGTTACAGTGCATGGTTACAAAGAATTGACGAGCAGTTTGGGGGTAAAAAGGAAGGGTAGGGCGTCGACATTCAAGTAACGTAGCCACCACTGATAATAATTTTAGAATCATGCGCATGGGTTATGTGGTATAAAGAGTAAAAAAAAGGCAATTGCAACGAGACGTTGCAATTCACAGTAAGAAAGTGAATATATATATTTTTTGTTTTTATGAAGGTATTAGCCTGATCATAGAATAAGTGATCAAACTGCCAGTGTTAATCTATGGTACAACCCAACGGGATCGATAGGTCTACATCGTTACGGAGCGAATACATCGAAAGTGTCCAGTCGTTCACCACCTGGATGACTGCATATAATAGTGCGAGATTGGGTAAAGCAGTGACAGGAAAATAATGGTGAATTCTTGTTCTTGTACCATGTGTCGCCATATGCTATGTTTTCTTTCCGTGCAGGGACTTTCCAGCTGTATCGATGTTAGTTCTAAAGGTACACCTGGAGTATTCTACTGACAAATCGATTGTCTACACTTTACCGCCGAACCCGGATCAGCTGAACATAAGGTCGAAGGGCCTCATTTCACTAGTGAGTACAATTTTAATACACTGTGCAAGCAAGATGAATGTAGGTGTGGAGAGGAGAGAAATGGCATCGAAGAGATGGAGAGCGGAGCATGATATATAAAGAAAGAGAAGTAGCGAAAATGATAGGCAGTAAAATAAAGGATGGCGAGAGAATGAAAGAAAAAAAGAGAGACAAATAAATATGGTAATTACCCCTGCCTGCTGCTCAGTTAACAAATATTCATACGTAATGAGGCAGTGTTAATGCATACTTGCGGATGAAAGAGTTCTTCGAGTATGTCTGTGCTGCGAAATATCCCGCTGCAAAGTTCATTTGCGGTTTGCATTGTTACCCATAAGGGTGGAGCCGCAATCTCATGCGTGTGTAACCATACTAAGTGCCATAGAAAGGACAGTAAAGAGCAAAACAGTTTTTGTGCAATGGTATGATTTCTGCATTACGAATAGCCATTCTTACTACGACACGACGCTTGGTAAACGAGCAAACGCGCTAAAAGAAAATGCAGGTTGATATGCCATGTAGACATTCGGGCACCTAACACCGTGACCTCATAAATCATGAAGGCATATACAAGATTGATGAATAGACCTATCTTTCAACAAAGCAACATTGAAAGCTCCGCATGCGACCAATGGAACTTTCCAGGCTATCAGAGGTGCAATAAGATTCTCATTGTTCTGATAAATGCACTGAAATCTGAAGAGGGTTGGCGGTGGACGACTCGAAGTGTAATACCACGCTCAGTCTTAACAAATAGAGTCACGGCTAAGGAGCTCGAAATAGAGTTTACATGAGGAATGCCAAAAAATTTTGTTTTTGACAAACATCGCAACACTTCTGCCACGAGATGATCTTGGGCGAGGCACACATTTCATAGTGTAGCCAAGTGAATAAGTAAGCTTGCCTTCTTTACTGTGTTTTCGTCATAGCTATCACATCAATCGCGAGTTTGTGTTGGCTCAAGTATACAAATAAGTTATCCAAGTTCTTTCTAGTGCTACGAAGATTACATTGCAAAATATAAAAATGATCTTGCTCTAGCCATGCCTTCTCGATTTCGGGAATACACAGAGCTATTGTAAATTATTAGGTAGTGTACAAATCAGGACTGACAACAAAATTTTTATAACTTGAACTAGATAACTCGTGCACGTGGCATGAATTTTTGTGAGTTTTTGGTTTTTCTCGTGAAAATATTTCTTTGCAACACCCAAGTGTACTTCCAGTTTTTGTCTCGCTTAGCCTGCAGAGCGTATCCCAGAAGTAATTTGTTGAGAGGCCTGAGGTACTCATAAATGTACATTGGGCTGTTCACGCCCCGGAAACCAATAGCTTGAGTGTTTATTCTCAATTTTATAGCAGCCTTCAAGACATTTTTTCTTACCACCCTGGTAGCAGATTTTCCAACTATATTCTGTGTCTGCTCACGTATAGAACGTAAATGATGAGTGAAATCAATGCCCGATTCTTTTCTTCTTTACATCTTGAAATAGATTTTATTTTATAAATATGGTTTTCCGATGTAATCATCGAGATTGCCTTCAATTCATTGTTATTTTCTTTGATGTATTGATCTAACCCTGGAAGATCCTTTCTGATCTCGTTTGACTCCTTTGAGAGGTGGTCATTTTTTTTTACAGCGATATTTTGTGCCGTCACTTTTGTGATTTCCTACTTCAAGCATTTCAGCATTGAACTCCTCGAACCTTTTATTTATAAACTCCGTGCTTTCTTTGAAAGGTTGCATGTTCTCTTGAATTACTTTTTAGGTCTTTTTTCAGATAGACATGGTTGTCACTAATTATTTATAAATTGGGACGTTAAACTCCATATATCTATCAACTAATTCTAGTAGGTAAATAGGCCAGAGCCTTTCGCAGTTCCTTTACAGTTTAGAGTTGTTGATGAGGCATAACCAAGGGGATCACAGTTTTCCACAGAGCAGTTTAAGAGCCGTATTTGTAAAGATAAAAAATGGATTCTTTCAACGTGGTCAAGACTATGAAGCAAGGCAAGCGATTATGAAATGCGCACCCCACCACGGTGGTCAAGTGGCTAAGGTACTCGGCTGCTGACCTGCAGTTCGTGGGATCAAATCCCGGCTGTAGCGGTAGCATTTCCGATGGAGGCAGAAATGTTGTAGGCCCGCGTACTCAGGTTGGGTGCACGTTAAAGAACCCCAGGTGGTCGAAATTTCCGGAGCCTTTCACTACGGCATCTTTCATAGTTATATGATGGTTTTGGGACGTTTAACACCACAAATCAATCAAATCAATCAATTATGAAATGCGTAATCCTGCTGCTGCCTACACTGCTCTGGAATGATGCTTCGTATGCTGAGGGCAGTGGTCTTATAGCCGTGCGGTGACGTCAGGAGGCCGTGCACGTGCGTAGCTTTCTATGAGCCTGATGATCGACAGGGACACGTGACAGTGCCGCCACGTGTACATTGGGAGCAGCGAAGTTGAAGTGTCTCCGGCAGTATCACGAGGTGGTGGTTCCCTGGTTACTCTGGCGTTCATCGGTGTGCTGCATGAAGCAAGGCAAGCGATTATGAACCGCGCGATGCTAGTGCTGCCTAGACTGCTTCGGAATGATGGAGAAGACGCCGTAGCTGCGTCCTGGCTGAACACTTAGGCTAGAACTCGTGCCCGAAGCCCGACAGCTCATCGTGTCCATGGGCACAGGACGCCTCCAAGCAACAGCAGGTCAGAAACATGTCGCCGTAACCTGCTCCTACGTCGCAAGTCACTCAGGGCTCAGCTGGTCAGCAAAGCAGGGGTCCGGAACCTGACCGCCGAGGAACATGGGCCATGCTCCTTGCTGCTTCTCTCGTGTTCTACTTGTCACCAGGGTTTACTATTTTTTTCTTGTTTTCTTCCGCGGTCTACTCCAATTTCTACAATTTTCTTCTCTGTACTGTCATGAAAGGCACCCAACACTCGTGTACGTCACTGACTACAACTATTGAGCATAATTTTGGTAATTCCGTATAGAAGATGTCATTATGCAATCTTACGACTGTGCGCGTGCATTGAAAATCAGCGTTGATGGTTTGCGTGCATATTTCCTTTCTGCTTCCTTTTTTTCACGTTCTGCAGGCGTCACTGGGTGCCGACGCGAAGGCGCGGTTGACAAACATGACCAACCATAACAAAACATACGTCCTCCTTTCATTCGCCATGTTCGGGCGCGGGTACCGCATGGATAATTCGTGGACTGACCCCGCCTTAAGGCCCCAAGCTATGCATGGCATTAATATGGATTACCGAACCGTAAGTGGGATATAAGATAACTTATATTACTGATACTAAAGGTAGGGTCTAGCTAGGTTCACGCGTTGCAACGGGGATAACAAAAACACAAAGCAATGAGTGGCAGCTCCACTAATGGGAAACTTGAAGAACTGCCTAGAGCACCTACCGTCTACCGTTCATAGATGTGTCCTGGCTCTGTTTACAAAAGCATCGATGACACCAGTATTTTAGGTAAGCGTGTGGTCTTTTCCGACAGGTACGCGAGAAAGGATGCTTTGGTATAATGGTAACGCCAGTGGCTACTTGCTTAATGCAACATATATTTCATATTTAAGGAAATCTTTATCAATAATGTGCTTTGGTTATAGGCAGCCGTTAAACTAAACTTTCCGTACAAACACCGTGGCGCAGCCAATGAATAAATCGGCAGGCATAGATGGGATAACTGCAAGGCTTCTCAATGAAAATTTAGACGTCCTCGGACCGGTTTTATGTCGACTATTTAACCATTCTGTGAGAGCAGTCTTGTACCCTTATTGTTTAAAAATTGCAAAAGTTATTCCGATGCATAAATGTGGCGATCACTCTCAACCGTCAAACTACCAACCAATCTTACTTTTGAGCATAATTACCAATATCTTCGAAAAAATTCTTGCCAATCGTTTCTATAAATTCATTGCGAAATATAACGTGCTCTCCCATCAGCAACACGGATTCAGACCAAATTATTCTACTTCCACCGCCATTATGACTCTTACTCAAGCAATAAACACTACCTTGAATGAAAATAAATTAGTAACAGTTATCTTTCTGGACCTCAAAAAAGCCTTTGACACCGTAGACCACAGAATACTGCAAATTAAATTACCTCATCATGGTCTCCGTGGTACCATCTTTCAACTTCTTTCAGATTACTTTAAAGTTCGTCAACAGGCTGTAGTAATTAATGATTTCATGTCTTCTATGAGCCACTTGAGTACTGGTGTTCCCCAGGGCTCGGTGCTGGAACCATTGCTCTTCTCCTTCTATATTAATGACCTTCCGCAGATATAACAGCCTTCTAACATTCTGATGTATGCTCACGATACTTGTGTCATAGTAACGGTTAAAAATTTGACTGATCTTGAATCGAAGTCCAACATAGAACTGGAAGAGGTCGCTCATTGGTTATCGAATAATAAACTATCTATAAATACCAATAAAACTAAGTGCATCACATTTTGCTCTCGGTTAAGATTCATTAATGCTAATGACATACATAAAAACAGACGACTCCGTGATCGAGCAAGTAACCACAATGAAATATCTGGGTGCCACTATAGATAACAACTTACATTGACAGATGCAGATTCAAAATGTGTGTTCAAAATTAGCCTCAGGGTGTCATGCACTTACTCAGGCTCGTCAATATTTTAATACCACTACTCTACGAATGCTTTATTGTGCTTTTATTCATTGTCACATCTTGTATTGCTTTGAGTCTTGGGGCGGCACGTACACAACTTACCTGGAACCGGTTAGACGACTTCAAAAACGGGCTGTAAGAATCATTACTCATTCCAAGTATAATGACCCCAGCAAACCTTTGTTTTCCAGATTACTCATTTTGCCCTTCGACAAGCTATGGAAATTAAAACTAGCCAGATGCACACACACAATTATTTACAACCACCCTTTTCATGTGTCGGTGTTTTCCGCCCCCTTCTCGTTCTACTAGACAACTAACCTTTGGTAAATGGAATATTCCACGAACTAACAACGTATATGGTGAACGGCTTTTACAGTTTGTTGGTATTAAAATCTGGAATGTTATTTCTTTTGAAATAAGAATGTGTTCAAATTTCACTAACGCACTAGAAAAACACTATTTAGAAGAATGTACTGATTAATTATAGTCCTGTCATAATTATTCTGATGACTGTCTTGATTACAATATGTAAGTAGGTGTTTTTTCCGTTTTCGTTTTCTCGTGCATTGTAACAGTTTAGTGTGATTATTTCATGCACTGTAATGTTTCTTGCCAATCCTTTATTGCATTGGATTGTAAAAACTTTAGTTAATTCTTTATTGATATTGTATAACTTGTTTAGTTACCCTTTTCGGAAGTGCCTTTATATAATCTTTCTTTTTTGGACCCAAACTAGCCCATGGCTATGGGTCCACGCAGTGTATGCAAATTTTTTTGTAAAAACTGTGACCAATAAAATTCAATTCTATTCAACTCAATTCATGGCCTGTGCTGGGCATGACCATGGAGGTTGGGGCTGTCTGAGGACGAAAATAACAGAGTAGTTTTTGCTTAATAGTACGTTTAAATGCGTAAGAACACTCCAATTAACGAAAAGCATAAGGTTTTAATATCCTGTAAACTTCGCTTTGGACAGTTACTCATTTATTTTCAAGCCGAAGCTACTGAGTTTAGACACTTCGTCGCAGCAAAGCGAGTTGGACCAACGCCCTTGTTAGCGCACGTGCTTCGCAGCGTCACTATGCCTTCCCGTGTGAGAGTGCGCTCATGATGCCAAGCAATAGCGTGCGAAGTACTCTCCCAAAGTGCGCTTACGTAGCTCCATGTGTCAAGTTCATGATGTTTGGCAAAGTGCTCTCAGATCAATTGAGAGCGTCCGTGAGTGCACTAGGCTAGCTCACTGGACGGGGATATATGAAACGGTACAGAGTGTGGACGAACGTATTTCTAAAATAGAAGCTGTTTAGGCTTGAATTGGGAAAGTGTAGTACGTTTACAGAAAAAATCCACAATCATGAAAGGCTGCTACATTAAAATTGACATCATCATCAATGGCCCCAAGCTTCGAATTTAAGAAGTGCAGAAAGGTAACCAAAAAATCTGCTTCTACATTAAAATTGTCATCATCATCAATGGCTCCAAGCTTCGAATATAAAAAGTGCTGCGCGGTGAGGAGAAAAAGGAGGGAAGAAAAGAGAATACCAGAAGGCAAAAAATAAATAAACAAAAAAACTTTCTCGGTGATGCATAACTCGAAATTCAGTGCTGACAGTCGAAAAAGGAGAGTCATAACGACCAGGCTGGGCATTAACGTTGGCAGATCACCCGTTTATGGGCGCCTTGGGAATGTTGCTGTGGAGGCCCGCAAAATAAAAAGATCGGGGAAAAAAGAACGAGTGAAAGAATAGATGCCTGTGGAGATGGTGAAGCAGCGAGATTAGGAAGAGAAATCGAAAAAAAGTAACCTTTCCTTTCGAGGAGGCTATTTCACCCTGGTCTTCATGGTCCGAAAGCAAAATGCCACACCGTAATGGTTAGTTGCTATAGGATAAGGGTAACTTTGTTGAAGGCATCGCTTCTCCTGTGCCTGACTTTGCAATCTTTTACCTAGCCCTCGCAGCTTTGCTGGTCATTGACTTCCACGATACCACAGCCCAGCCTGACTTAAAGAAAGTTCTATAATTACGAATGTGTACTTTTAAACAAACGCTCTTTGTCAATAACAAACCTAGGAGCATTCACTGGGACATTTATCTTCGGATCACTTCTGGCGTGATTTTATACCGCACTTTTTCATCCCTTGTGCTCCCATTCCAGTTATGCAAAGATGCCAGCGGCAGTGACACCGCAGACTCAATGTCCACGTTCTACGCCAATACAACCACCAAATTTCTGGCGATCTTTGACACCATCGACAACATCCGGGACAAGGTGAGAAACGTCATGTTGAAAACAAAGGCTAAGAGCGACGTACTGCGCAGCAACAGCAGATGCACAGCTGCGCACGCACCAACGCGAGAAGACAATTCTGGCTAAATTCCGCGCTTAACTTTTCCTTTACCATGAAAAAATGGACCATAGTTTGCAGGTTTTAAAAATAATGTTTCTTTTATTAGACACAGCGTGGTATTACAGATCATTATAAAGCTAAAAATAGAATTGTACTTGAAACTACTATCCAAAATCCTATTTATGATAACATATGCTGGAGTATTCATGTGTGTGAAGTATAATTCGACATTGCATAAAACCCGTTAATGTATAGGTCCCGATATGAAAGAAAAACGGGCGGAATATAATGTGACATATAAAGAATGTTTGGTGATCATTGATGTTCGTTGTAGGGAAGCTGGATTTAGCCAGTGTAGAAAGCGAGTTTCTGTCCCAAACAAATCTGATTTACACGCAGCCCCTCCACGGTGGTCTCGCAGCTAAAGTATTTTTTCGCTGACCCACAGGTCACAAGGTCGGCGGCTGCATTTGCGATGGAAGTGAAAATGCTGTAGGCCTGTGTGCTCAGATTTAGGTGCACGTTAAAAAACCTCAGGTGGTAGAAATTTCCGGAGCCCTCCTCTACGGCGTCTCTCATAATCACAGGGTGGTTTTGAGATAATAAACCCTACGTGCAAATCTCGTTTTTATTACGTTCTTTCCCCAAACACTAGCTCAGATGCTCTTGATAAGCATATCTCGGCCGAGCCATAGCTTTATTTGAAGAGTCCTTACTTAATAGCAGCGCACCGATAAACGCTTCGGTGATGATTGCAGGAAACTAAATCAGGTGAGCAAGAAAAACTTGTATCCAATACGTTGTATAGATGACTCTCTCGACAGACTTCGACATGCTCGATACTTTTCTCTTCAAGGTGCTTACAGAGTGGATAGTGGCAAATCTAAGTAGACCTGAGAGACAGCGAGAAGACCACTTTTGTGACACCACAGCCCGAACGCTAGTAAGAACATGTCTCACAACATGCCGAGTCAGCCCAAGAAACAGCATTTTTTGGATGGCCGCTATTTGTAAAACTGAACAATCACGTTAGTGAGGAGCGCGCCAGTTGAAGTGAATAAATGAGCGGAGTAATTCACGTCCGCATCGAGCTCCGCGTGCTCCGACTTTGCCAATAAAAAATTAGGGGACCCTTAAACTGTGCCTTCAACAGTTGAACGTTACAGCGAAATGTGGCCCCTAATACGCTCTTCAAACGCTAAGTGCATACTTAGTGATATGTTTTGTTAAGCACACACAGGCGCGCGCGCACACACACACGCACACACACACACACACACACACGCACACACACACACACACACGCACACACACACACACACACACACACACACACACACACACACACACACACACACAAACGCACGCGAGCGCAGGCGCGACTTATCTATAGTAATGCAGTGACTGTGCAGCGTGGGCACTTCCCTCTGCTAGAACGGTGCTCTGCTGTAGTCGAGACACGTTTCTCACAATGTCTCACAGATGGTACAAAGACACACACACACGCTCGCGCGCGCGCAAATAATACTTACAGATTTTTAATCTAAAGCAAGAGTCGCATGGCCTCCAAGATAAACGCAGAGTGCTCGCCATCCTGGATGGCCATAAAGAGTCTCACAATACTTCACAGATGGCAGCACATTATCTAGCATTTGCTGTTTTCTTGATCAACGCCTCTCGAAACACGTGATATGTGAATGATGTCCCTAAATGGACATCATACCCGTTTTTTGGACCTGTTTGAAATTTCTGTGTGCTTTTAGCGATGATGGCTGCACTATCCCGGCCTTTTTTGACGTAGTTTGATGGCCTCACAAATGCGCCTACAATTCGCTGCATTGGCTTGTTTTCGTCGTGACACCTGTGAAACAAAATGCGTTGTAGTGTTTTTAGGGGTGAAGCTCCTTATAGCGGCACCCGTTCGTCCTTCGTAGCTGTAGTAGTAGTCGTAGTGTGTAACCAGTCTTACATTTTGACCTCCAAGGTGGTGCCGGTGAGACATTTCTTTTGTACGTTGTTGAACAATAAAAATTTTGCAGCGTGCGCATTATCTAAAAGCCGAATTCTCCTGTCTCTCATTCCCCTTTAGCAGCCGTTGGCATGTACATTGAGCACTATCTGACAAGAAAGGGTAGCTGCGTTATACTCGCTGGGCGTAACTTCCTTTGTTTTAGAAAGGTTTAGCGAGCTTCGGACCACAGTGCCATGAATACAGTGAAGTAGTAAATACCAAACTCGACCTGGTTAAAGATGGGAAGTAGACAAGAAGCGCAAGCCGTAAGAAAGGGTGCGTGTGCCACCTCTCGTTTAGTCGTTGGAATGTCCGCTGGATGGCGGTGCATATGCGGAATATATGATGAAAAGATTCGAGACGCTGTTACTTGGAGTATTGAATACATGGACAAACGGACACACAGACAGATGCATGGACGGACGCATGGATGGCTGCATGGACGAAAGGACGCATAGACGGACGCAGGCACGGATGCATGGACGAACACAGGGATGGACGCATGGATGGACGTGCGGACGTACGAACAGACGCACGTACGGACTGGGCGGATGGACGCATGGATGGTCACACAGACCGACGGAAGCAAGAACGAATCGACGGAAGGATGCTTCTCCCCGCTCTCCATCATTCACCTCGTGGATATGCTGCCATTTTTTTCTCTATGCAGTAGCAAGTAACATCGTGGCTTTGTGGTAGGACACTTGCTTGCTGCGCGAAAAGCCAAGGTTTGATCCCAATGGCACCGAAAGTTTCTTTTTATTTGCTTCTCTCTCGATTTTTCGTTCACGAATGATTTTTCGCTCATAACAAACGGTGCCGATGCCGACGGTGGAATTTCTGTGACACGAGCTCTCTAACGCTATCGCGTTATTAGAAGGACTTACCAGCCTTCTTGAGACGGAAGCCTTTGATGTCTCATGCTCACGTCTGCCAGTGCGTCCGTCCGTGCTCTCGCAAGGCGCCAAGTGGCCACCGAGACGCACCAGCAGACGCCAGTCGCGTTGGTCACACCTTGCGTCGGACTCAACATCACTAACGCTTTGCTTGCGTAGCGTCGCTGTTCCCAGCGTGTTTAATTATTCAAAAAGGGAGATGCGCACATCCCATTTCATTCGAACTCAAATGGGCAGAGGCGTTCACCAAACGGACTTTAGAATTTCGCAAGTGCTCATCAATTTTGAAAGCGACAACAGTAGAGCTTGTTTCCACAGTGTGGGCGTGGGCGTAGTTGGTTGTGAAGTAATGGTCTCACCTGTGATCGGGGAATCAAAAAGCGTGCAAATAAAAAAAATTGCCCGCAGCTTCCCTCGGGGGAACACTGAGGAGGATGCGGAGCATATAATTGGTTAACGGGGTGTTAAAGTGCGACTTACTTGGGTCGATGGCTAAATTGGTTAACGTGGTTGTGAAATGGGGTGTTAAATTGCGACTTACTTGGGTCGATGGCTAAATTGGTTAACGTGGTTGTAGGAGGGGGTGTTAAATGAGTGAACACGTACACACGTATGCGAAAGGGCGGCGCTGGTCGAAGGGACGTCGATCATTGTGTTTGTGGATTCGTTGGAATTCATTTCACCGCGACCTTGGACGTCGACGCGCCGTACAAACCAACCAACGAGCGGCAACTGAGCGAGCGAGCGCCGACCTTGAGTATATATACAGCTCGACGGCGCATGCACTGTCAGCTGTTGAATGTTCTCGAAGCGCGACGCCACATGCGCGTCCACTGGAGAATCAGGACAATTGTAGATGTCGAACGCGGTGTGTAGAGGAGGAAGGGTGCACAGATGGTGGAGGAGTGAAGCGCGCGCGGTGTGTAGAGGAGGAAGGGATGCACAGATGGTGGAAGAGTGGGCGACGGCACGACGGCGCATGCGCGCGCGTCAGCTGTCGAATGTTCGAGAAGCGGTGCGGACGGCGCACTACAAGGCGCGAGTATAAGATGCTTCCGCATCTAATAAACATCGAAAGAATTTCGCTTCAAAATGAGGATTGAACCCAAGCCGCCTCCGTGGCAGCAGTTTATCGCACATCCACAATTTTAGATGCGGAGCATCTAATACTCGAGGCTTGTAGTGCGGCGCCGTCCGCAAGCTTCCTCCTCCTTCTTCCACCATCTGTGCATCCCTTCCTCCTCTACACACCGCGCGCGCTTCACTTCTCCACCATCTGTGCACCCTTCCTCCTCTACACACCGCGTGCGCTTCTCCTCTTCACGAACATTCGCTAGCTGTATAATGTAGCGCGCATGCGCCGTCACGCTTCGAGAACATCGGCAGCTGACGCGCGTGCATGCGCCGTCGCGCTTCGAGAACATCGGCAGCTGACGCGCGCGCATGCGCCGTTGCGCTTCTCCCCCTTCTCGAACATTCGACAGCTGACGCGCGCATGCACCATCACCCACCATCTGTGCCGCGCGCGCTTCTCCCCTTCGAGAACATTCTACAATTCTCCTGATTCTCCAGTGGACGCGCATGCGCCGTCGCGCTTCGAGAACATTCAACAGCTGACAGTGCATGCGCCGTCGGGCTGTATATATACTCAAGGTCGGCGCTCGCTCGCTCAGTTGCCGCTCGTCGGTTGGTTTGTACGGCGCGTCGACGTCCAAGGTCGCGGTGAAATGAATTCCAACGAATCCACAAACACAATGATCGACGTCCCTTCGACCAGCGCCGCCCTTTCGCATACGTGTGTACGTGTTCACTCATTTAACACCCCCTCCTACAACCACGTTAACCAATTTAGACATCGACCCAAGTAAGTCGCAATTTAACACCCCATTTCACAACCACGTTAACCAATTTAGCCATCGACCCAAGTAAGTTGCACTTTAACACCCCGTTAACCAATTATATGCTCCGGATCCTCCTCAGTGTTCCCCCGAGGGAAGCTGCGGGCAATTTTTTGGGACGAAGCTCTTGTTAGTCGACTTTCTTGCCTTGTCATACGTCACGCGGAACTGAGAGAAGAAGATACAAGACAGAAAAGAAGGCATTATCTCCTGACCAGTATATTAGACGGCGCTGTCTCATAGAAGTAATTAAAAATTGCAGTTCATAGAAGTACTTACAAAGTGCAGTTTAGTGAGGATGTTCTATATCACGCTGTACCGCTAGTCTTCGATGGGCTGCTGCACGGGCTGTGCATAGGTACACAGAAAACGAGATGTCGGGCACGAACGAAGCAGAGCAGTGGGCGCGTTGAAGACGCTTGCAGCTCGGCATCCTTGGCTCGCGTCTCGTCGGTGTTACCCACGCACCATATGCATTCTCGAACGCGATCAGACACGTAGACGCATGCACGGACGAACGGCCACAAGGACGGGTGGACGGATGAACGCTTATTTCCACTGATCAGTGAATTTTTTTCTGTTAAAACTGGCTTGAAAAAGAAAAATAGAAGGAATCACCGTAATGCGCAAATATTGCGAAGCAGAAACGTAGAGCCACGACAGCTGTCACGTGATATAGAAGCAACGAGTGGGTACTTTAAAGGACCATTCATTGCAAAGCGCTTAGACATATTCAAATATATTAAGAAGCAGAACCATCAACAATGCGAACAGCCTCGTTGGTTCACGTGTTTCCGTATGGATGTGTGACATCCGTTTCGCTGATTCGCAGGAGGAATTATTGCGGCGTAGTTGGCAGTTAACTATGCTTAGAGTATGTATTATTTGATAATTTAAATTGGCCGTTCGTTTCCTTACAGTATAGCTAAGGCATGTCCCTATCAGCGTGAAATAAAACCCGAAGAGCGGCAAGCATTTGCGATGGCATAGTGCGGCCATCGAGCTCGCACCACGGACAGGCATGCATATATGCGAAGAGCTGCTGAAAAGTGTGGGCGCGCATATGAACGTCACTCTGCTCAGACGGCGCTGAGAAAAACGCCGCCACCAGTGCCCCCATCGCCACACCGGTCATAAATGGGTAGTGCACAGAGAGCCGTCCGCAAGCGAACGTGCATAGGCCCTCCTCTTTCATTGGTCTTGAGGCACGGTATCCTGAAAATCAAGCACCTGGCAAGATTCTTCTTTCAATACAACCTCGCTTCATGAAATAAATGCAGCTCATCAAAATGAAACGTGGGCCAAATGCAAAAGATGTTTATTTATTTCAGCGTGCTGGAACTGGCAATTCAAGTGCAAGCGAGCATCGCATGACATCGAGTTCTAGCAAGCAGTTCGACGTCTGTTCTTTAATGTCTAAGTGCGTTTAACTTGGGCATGCACATGATACAAAAACCGTAAAGTACATACACGAGCAATCTATTTTGCGATCAATGGTACGAAGCTTGCTTTATCTGGTATGAATGGCCCTGGTGATCATCGCTTTGCAGTTGCATTCTTCATCGATTTCTCGCTTCTTGTGCGTTGAACTGTTTTATTACGCATGCTCGAATGGTTTGTTGAAGGTTGTCTTCTTTTTATATATAACGTAAATTGCGATACATGCGTTTTTACTTTCTCAGTGTAAAGCGAAACGCAGATTCAATGCCTCCGTGATAGCTCTGGTAATCGCGGAGATCGAAGGGAAAAAAAAACAAAAAGCCCTCATTGTGGTCGCGATCATTTTGCGATTTGCCTGTACGAAGCTTGTGATCGTCTTTCGTAGTAAAAGCTGGCTCCTAAAACCTTCAAAGCCCTACGTGCATAATACTGTGTGGCGGCGACAACTTCAGATTATCGGTGGTCGCGAGGTTTGCGACGCCCGCACTGCCGGGCGTCACCTGTCTGCTGTTGTTTGTTACGCACCGCAGTCAGAGCGTCTGTTAAGCTTCATAATAAAAGACACCAGTTGTCCATCAGGGCTACTCAAAACAGTAACAGGAGACCTACATTATCACACCTAAGTGAACGGTTGTCGAGAACGTGAGTAGTTCACTTACCCAACACGTTCGCAACGCCCTGTATTTAACGCTTTCGCCATTCTGCGTCACGAAAGCTGCAGAAATCGGTGAAACTGAAGTCATTTACGTTAATGGCAAGTCTCAACGCAACAGTTACGCAGAATGGGGTCTTTTTTTTTTCTAAAGGGCGGAGCTGTTGCGTTTGCTCTTCTTTTCACCATCGTTTAGGCTAGTGAATAAGCAAGCACTTCATGACCATTCGGTGACGCGTCCGACTAGCGGAAAAAAAATTCTTAGCTCTGTTTCTGACTGTTCAGTGCGTAAATGCTTGTGATATTTCGCGCAATCGTTGTTGAGTGCGCTGTATTTGCACCTCGTTGCGCAGCGACCTGTGCAGTAGAGTCAGGCTTTGCACTACTGAGAACTGCATCGACAGGTGGCGCTGCGTGTCCACAAAACTCCCGAGTCTGACGTCTATCAATGGTGATAACTGGACGGCGCGCACTACGTTGTCGCGAAGGCTTGCCGATGTTCGGGTTTCATTTGACGCTGATAGTACCGAGAACTGAAGAAGGCTTGAAGTTCACAATGCGAAGCGCACATAAGCCCCGATTAAGCTGTCGCAATCTTCTCTTGAAGGCGAAGCTCAAGCGTCTTCCAAATGTTGCTGTACGCAATCTATATTTTACGCTACAGGGATTCGTGGCGTGTACAACCACACAACGCGGTCCAGCTGTTTACTGAATGAACTGCTTTTACAGCGTCGCTTTCATTTCGCCTTCACCTTAAAATAGCACATAAAGCGAGTCACTTGATTCGGTCAGAACAACTCCCATCTCACTAGCATAGATGTTGTTCGGAATTCACGTGTTTCACATTTTTTATTGCAGATGAAACCGTCGCAAGAGATCCAGCTTACCGTTCTACAACAGCGGCATAATGGCGTATCGAGTGGAAATGGATGACTGGGCTGACAACTGTGGCAACGGAAGCTTTGCTCGACTCAGAGCCTTGAAGGAAACACTGTCAAGGTGACGACGTTACGCCCAGGGAGGCCGCTGTTACTGCATCTCCGTTGTGCTGGTCAGGTGTTCAGAGCTCTCTTCGGTACTTCCCTATTATGCGGACCTTCAAAGGCGTCGGTGTCAGGAGAATAAGCACTTCTGTTTTTGCACACTTGCGTTTGCTTTTATGACTCTTTGACGGCTATCTTCTTCCTTAGCATAAACAGGGTTATGACGGCGAGAAGATGGTGTGAGTTTGAAGACCTCTTTGTGAGTCAATGTGAGTGAATGGGAAATAGACGAAAGAAATGGTTCTCTAACGAACACAACTTGTTATTGACACTGACTCCTAATTATGTGTAGCGGATATGGTATTGTTACAGCACACGAAGTCGAAGCGCGCATGTTTGCAGAGTGATTGGATACACGCCAGCATTGCTTACTGTAATCATAATCATCACGAAAAAGAGGTAAGTAATTAGCTTCACAACGAAGATGTTTATCGTACTAACACCGGTGCCGTGCGATTCCACACCAAAGTTTTTAAAAAGTGGCGTGTTGAAGAAATCGCATTGCGATGATGTTTATTAGAACAGAGGAGTCGCAACGAGGTCGCGACGGAAAATGGGCGAACAGCAAGTCTGGCAAAGGCAGCACAGGTTCTCGCGCAATCAGAGCACGGGCTTCTCGTTGTCTTCCGAAGGCGCATACGCGTTGGTGCGTATGCTCCACTACAATACCCCCGGGGTGAAGGGTAGCCATCCTGGCGACTCAGGGAGTAGGCACAATGAGGGGGTCGTAGTAGGGCTTGAGACGGTCGACGTGTACGGTCTCGCGTCCTCGACGGCGCAAATCTGGTGATTGTGTTAATGGCTCGATGACGTAATTCACCGGGGAGGTCACGTCAATGACACGGTAGGGACCATGGTACCGGGCCAGAAGTTTAGAAGACAGGCCAGGAACGTGCGGGGGCACCCAAAGCCACACAAGGGAGCCAGCACGAAATGTAGGAGCTATGCGGTGAGCGTCGTCGTGTCGAGTCTTTTGTAGGCCTTGAGCCTCACTTGTCAGAGACCGAGCCAACTGACGGCAGTCTTCAGCGTATCTGGTGACTTCCGAAAGCGGGGAGCACTCAGATGCATCAGGGCGATACGGTAGTATAGTGTCGAGTGGGTGGGAAGGTTCGCGGCCGTACAATAGAAAGAACGGGGAAAAACCGGTAGTCGCTTGCGTCGCGGTGTTGTAAGCGAAGGTAACAAAAGGCAAGACAGCGTCCCAGTTAGTGTGGTCGGAGGAGGTGTACATCCTCAGCATGTCGCCAAGTGTGCGGTTGAACCGCTCAGTAAGACCATTTGTCTGTGGATGGTATGCGGTAGATTTCCGGTGGATAATGTTGCATTCAGCGAGGATAGCTTGGATTACCTCTGATAGGAACACTCGACCCCTATCACTGAGTAATTCCCGCGGAGCACCATGGCGTAGAATGAAGCTGCGGAGAATGAAGAGTGCAACTTCGTGGGCGGTCGCTGCCGGTAGAGCTGCAGTCTCAGCGTAGCGTGTCAGATGATCGACTCCGACAATAATCCACCGGTTTCCAGAGATACTATATGGGAGGGGGCCATAGAGGTCTATACCCACGCGGTCGAATGGGCGAGCCGGGCACGGGAGCGGCTGTAACATGCCAGTAAGGTGCCGCGGAGGTGTCTTGTTCTGTTGGCAAGTGGTGCAAGACTGAACGTATTTCTGCACAAAGCGATACATTCCTCGCCAGTAATAGCGCTGGCGCAGCCTTTCGTAGGTTTTCAGGACACCTGCGTGAGCACTTTGGGGATCTGCATGGAAATTCATGCAGATGTCAGAGCGCATATGAGTTGGGACAGCAAGGAGCCACTTCCGACCACCAGGCATGTAGTTACGGCGGTACAGAATGTTGTCTCGTAAGGAAAAGTGGGCTGCTTGCCGGCGTAGCGCTCTCGTGGAAGGGACAGCAGACGGATCGGTAAGGTAGTCGACTAACAAGGCAAGGTGTTGGTCTTTACGCTGCTCCGAAAGCATGTTAGTCGTGTCGAGCGGTGACAAGGTTGTAAAAGGGGGAGACAGAGAAGCCACATCTGGTGTTAATGGCGATCGCGAAAGTGCGTCGGCATCCGCATGCTTGCGACCGGAACGATATACGACACGGATGTCGTATTCTTGCAATCGAAGTGCCCAACGCCCCAGGCGTCCGGACGGGTCTTTCAAGGTGGACAGCCAACATAGAGCGTGGTGGTCTGTGACCACGTCGAAAGGACGGCCGTAAAGGTACGGGCGAAACTTCGTCAACGCCCAGATTATGGCCAAACACTCCTTCTCTGTCACGGAGTAATTCAATTCAGCCTTCTTGAGAGCGCGACTTGCATAGGCGACTACGTATTCAGCTTGGGTGCCTTTCCGTTGTGCCAAAACTGCACCACGACCGATGCCACTTGCATCGGTGTGAATTTCTGTGGCCGCAGCAGGGTCCAAGTGACGAAGAATAGGTGGTGAGGTCAGCAGGCGGCGGAGCTGGCGAAATGCGTCGTCACATGCAGGTGACCATGCAGATATGCCTTTGCTGTTGGAAAGCAGACTCGTGAGAGGTGCGATGATGGACGCGAAGTTGCGCACGAAGCGACGAAAGTAGGAGCAGAGACCGATGAAACTTCTTAGGGCTTTCAGAGATGTGGGCAACGGAAAGTCAGCGACAGCTCGAAGCTTATCGGGATCCAGAAGAACACCGTCTCTGGTGATGACATGTCCCAAGATGGTTAGTTTTCGTGCTGCGAAGTGGCACTTCTTGGAGTTAAGTTGTAGGCCTGCAGAAGTTAGACACGTCAGAATCTCGTGGAGGCGAGCAAGATGTGTTGGGAAATCAGATGAAGAGACTACGATGTCGTCCAGGTAACATAAGCAGGTTGTCCACTTGTGGGCACGCAAGATGGTGTCGATCATGCGCTCAAATGTGGCAGGCGCGTTGCAGAGCCCAAATGGCATGACTTTGAACTCATATAGGCCATCCGGCGTTACAAAGGCTGTTTTAGGGCGATCACATTCAGCCATTGGCACCTGCCAATACCCACAACGCAGATCCAAAGATGTAAAGTACTCGGCGCCTTGTAAACAGTCAAGAGCATCGTCTATTCGTGGTAGCGGGTAGACATCTTTTTTCGTAATATTGTTTAGGCGGCGATAGTCCACGCAAAATCGTACGGTGCCATCTTTTTTCTTGACCAGAACCACAGGTGATGACCAAGCGCTTTGAGAAGGCTGTATGACTCCACGTTTAAGCATGTCATCTACTTGCTCCGTAATGACGCGGCGCTCTTCGGCGGAAACGCGGTAAGGACGCTGTCGCAGAGGCGAATGTGAGCCGGTATCAATAGTATGAGCGATAGTCGTGGTGCGGCCCAAAGCAGGTTCTTGAAAGTCGAAAAAAGAATGAAACTTGTTAAGGAGAGCAACAAGTTGGCTGCGATGCGAGAGGGGAAGGTCTGCGTCAATAGCATTGTCGAAGGCTGATGAACTTGATGGCTCAGACGCATGAGTGATTGCAGCAATGTTACATGGCGTTTCGTCGGGAAGAATAATATCATCGATATGGTCGACAGGTTGCACATATCCTAACGTTTCACCACGAAGTAAGCCAATAGGGTAGTTGCAGTGGTTGGTGACCAGCATTACGGTTAAACCAGACGCATTTGTAAGAACAGCAAATGGGAGAACGATGCCCTTGCGTTCAGTAAAAACCGGAGATGGCGTAAACACCACCGTGCCGTCAGGTTGCGCCAGACATGAAAGGCTAATAGGGACCGAAGCTTCAGGAGGCAAGGTGATGTCGTCATCAGCGATGACTTTGCAGAGCAGAGGAGAGCGGTCGGGTGGTGGAAATTCACATGTTGGCACAAGGGACACTTCGGCACGGGAACAATCGATGATAGCTTCATGACGTGATAAGAAATCCCAACCCAGGATAAGGTCATGAGAGCAAGATGGTAGAACAAAAAACTGTACGACGTACAAAACGTCTCGGATGACGACGCGCGCCGTACACACAACCGAGGGATGAATGCGTTGCGCGCTAGCCGTGGACAGCACCAAGCCACTGAGAGATGTGGTCACTTTCTTCAGTTTCCTACAAAAGTTTGCGTTCATCACAGAAACGGCGGCCCCGGTATCAATTAACGCTAATGTGGCGACTCCCTCAACATCGACATCAACAACATTTTGCGGCGAAAATGGAGGCCTTGGGAATTGCGCACAAGTTGCAGTTCTTGCCTCCGGAACTGCACTGATTAGTTTCCCTCCTCGAGAGGTGGTCGACGACGCATAGGCGATGGCGATCGGCGACGAGGTGATGGGAAACGAGCAGTCGATGGGTGGCGATCCGAGTCGGAGTGCCTTTGTTCATATGCAGACGTGGTGGTCTGCTGCGGTGCGTAGGTAGGAGCGCCGAAGTATGCGTGCGCAGGCGTGGGACGGCGGCGGCAGAAGCGTGCAATGTGGCCAGCGATGCCACACGTGAAGCAGATGGGACGATTGTCTCGGGTGCGCCACTCATTAGATGGACGGAAAAAGCGAGGTGGGGGCCTGTAGACTGGAGGCGAGGCCGGAGGAGGTGGAGCCGATAAGGCGACTGGATGCGGTGGGGGCCGCGCGACCACAGCTGCGTAGCTGAGAGGTGAAGGCGGCGCAGTTGGTGCGTAGCAAGCAGTTGAGAGATCAGATGGCACCGAAGTGCACGGGTAAGAGGCCGGAACTGTAGGGAGTGCATTGCAAATTTCAGTGCGTATGGCCTGCTGCATATTCGAAGGGAGGCTTGTCGTGGGCGCGTCACTATGCGGCAGCAGGGAAAGCTGTCAGGCGACTTCCTCCCTGATGAAGTCTTTAATCTGGTTCGACAGAGTTCCTTGGTGAACGTTGCCATTGGCGAGTGCGACGGCCGTGATCGAATCTGGTGATGGAACACTCTGTCGGGCGATGGAACGCTGACGACGCAATTCATCGAAGCTCTGGCACAGGCTTACGAGGACCGCCACCGTGGTCGGGCTCTTCGCCAACAACATCTGGAATGCGCCATCCTCGATGCCTTTGAGAATATGTCGAATTTTCTCTTCTTCAGGCATGGATGAGTTAACACGCCTGCAGAGGTCGAGCACATCCTCAATATAGCTAATAAAGGTCTCACCAGGTTGCTGGGCTCGGTGGCGCAGACGATGGTCAGCGCGGAGCTTGCAGACCTTTGGTGCAGTGACGAGTTCTCGAATCTTTGGGTCCAGACATGCGCTATGGAAACGTGAACTCC